AAATGCTTGCTAAGGTTTTTAAAAGATATTCTTGTATTTAGGTCTTAAATATAATTTCATGGGTAATGTTTATTGCACAATTTAGCCATCTTTGAATGCCTTGGGATGTAATTTGAAATTAATTTGCTTTCTTTCTTTGATTTTTCAGGTTGAGTTGGGAAAAGGCAGGAATATTACAATTGTAACTGTACCAAGTGCCACCCGCTGGCAAGATGTTGTTCTTGGCAGGATGAAATGGGCTACCCTCACAATTGAAAAGACGGTAAAAAAAACATATTTCACAAACATTTTTGAATTTTGAAAGCTTTGTTTGTGTGGCGTATATGAACACACAGATTTACTGGTAGTCAAATTCCCCCAAACACCAGATGTCATTTAGACGTTGGTTTTTAAGGCTGAATCTGGTCGGTCCATCGTAGTTTATTTGATTGATTGATTGATTGATTGATTTACTTTATTGATCTCACAGTGAAGAAATGTACTACTTACATTAGCTCAAATAGTCAGAGGAGAAGCAGAAGGTGCCAAAGGAAGAAAAAGGTGCATGGGATATAGTGCATGGTGTAGTCTTGATTTAGTCCAGAAATAGTTGTGGAAAATCAGGCTGTGTTTGTTCTGTATGATTTTGTCCCAATTTAGTCCAATAATAGACGTTAGAAAATAAAACACAGTTTTCAATGTCTTTTCCACGATCTGAAAATTACAGCTTTTCAATTGAATACCTTTTTCAAATAACAATTCTCATAAAAACTTTTCAAAATTATTTTTAGATGTTCAGTAGTCCCGTTTTTTAAATTGGATCTACAATCCAATCATGTTCATTTGTCAGTTTAAAGGAAGATTTTGAAAATAGCATCCTTTGAACATGTATTAAACATACTATTAACTAGTAGAATAAACAAACTATTTTATTTTATTTTTGTTTTCTTTTTCCAACTTTTGTTGTCATTACCCTGTCACAAATACAGAGCATTGAAATGAACTCTCTGCATTTAACCCATCCTCTTGGGGAGCAGTGGGGTGCCATTGTGTGGCACCCGGGGAGCGGTGTGAGGTTAAGGGTCTTTTGCTCAGGGACCCAGAGTGGCAGCCTGTGGGAGTGGGGCTTGAACTCAGAACCACTAGGTCACCATTCCTCCTTAAAGAATTATATTTTTTATTAATTTAATAAGACCACATAAGACCAAAACAGCTTGAGCTAATTTCCATGCAAATGGAAACAGCTCTTCGTTTGCATGGAAAATGTAATATCCATGCAAACAAAATGTTTTGGCTGCTTGTAGGACTTTATCATGTTGATTTTATCAAAGACTCACATTTTGACAGGAATAAACCAAAACCATGAATGGACTGATGTGAACTTTAGTCCACCTCAAGTTTTTGACAGGCTTTTAAATGAGCTCCTGTGGAGTTTGCTCAAAGCAAAATAATATCCAATAAACCAAATACGTCATACATATGATGTAGATGTAAGGTTTCTAATCCCTCATCCAGTCACACATCCTTGTCTTGCGTCATTCCAAACCCAATCAGTATAACCAAATCCTGTTGCTAAAAAGAAACTTAAATGTTTCTTTTATATCTATGTTGTGTATGAGATTAATTTGTATCACTATTATTTAACCTTATGTCAACCTTAATTTCAGATAAATAAAGAGGCAGATTACCTGTTTATGATGGACATAGACAGCGTCTTCCACAACCGATTTGGAGCGGAGTCTCTCAGTCGTCTTTCAGCTGTACTTCATCGTGGCTACTACAAGGTTTTACCCTTTTTTTTCTCACATAAGATTGGCTCTAAGAAAAGTACTGTAACTCATAGATGTTTATTCTCCTTGTATCCCTAATGTGTGTAATCTTTTGTCACCAATAAGTTCAGTTCATTTCATGTAAATTTCAAAGTCTGTCATTGTTTTCATCAAAATCTGGATCTGTTTTGCTTACAAAGAACACACCAAGGGACAGATTTCCTTACGAGCGTCGGCCACTATCCAAAGCCTACATACCTGCTGGGGCAGGAGACTACTACTACACGGCAGCTGTCTGGGGTGGATACCTGGAGGATATGTACAAGCTTGTCAAGTAAGATAATTGCAAATGACATTTGCCTTTAAAATCGAGTTTATCGAAACTCTTTCATTGCAGAGGTGTTGAGACAAAGACATAAAACTTAAGATAAAATTATTTGTTACAGCCCTGTATCCCCAATTACCAAAAAAGTGCAGCAAGCTCTCATCAGAAATGAGGAAAAAAAATGAGCAAAAATGAGCTGAAGACGACAAAGTATTTACTCTAAACTGGTTTGCATTTTTTAAAAGCTTGTTTGCTGAATGGCTTTTAGA